CGAGTTTTTCATTGCTCATGAATATTAATTTATGCAAATGAGATGAGTATTTCAACCAATCGAGTCATGCAACTCCCCCCCCCCCTGACTCTTGTCTTGCACTGCTAGTGCACCCTCTACTGTCACAATCTAACAAAGTAACAGAGCACTCTTGTCTAGTACTGCTAGTGCGCCCTCTACTGGTACAATCTCCATAAGTAACAGAGCACTCTTGTCTAGTACTGCTAGTGCGCCCTCTACTGGTACAATCTCCATAAGTAACAGCACTCCAGTCTAGTACTGCTAGTGCGCCCTCTACTGGTACAATCTAACAAAGTAACAGAGCACCTTCTCATGTTAACATCTGCCTTACCTGCCAGGTGACGTGAATACTTGTACTGGACATTGTCACCGCGGTAACTAAAGTGGGTGAATTTAGTGGTGCTAGAAATTTAAACAATGAATTTAATGTTAGCTTAATGTGCAAGCAATGAATGTGTGATTAATTAATAAATTACTATGAAATAAGATGTATTAATATGCAGTTAATTAAAAAAAATAGTAAAAAAGTAGATACATTAAATTAATGTTATTATTCCTGCATTGTTGTTGCATATAAAACCTACAACTTGGGAAGAACAACTTCAACAGCAAAATTGTTGATAATATTTAGTCTAGTTCAGGCTTGGAAATAAAAAATCTGTTTCTCATATCATTGGAAAATGAGACTTTTTTGATTGAAATGAGAGGCATTTTCATGGCGAGTTTTCCCAAGTTGTCATAGGTGAAAATCGGCACATGTAATTTTGGACATAAATGAGAAACAGAGATTTTTTTCAAACTTTATTTACATGTATATAATAATGATGCTTACAAATAATTAGTGCACTATGTGAAGCTCAATGAAACTGGATCACTTATTGAAAAATTTTTGGGAAATAAAATTTGACACACATACGACATTAACACTGGTCTCTCAGCAAAAAGTTACTGTCTCATAACAAGTTTGTTGTGGCTAGTGATAAATTGTGTCTCTTACCACCATGTAGTGTTTGTGTTTGCACATACTCGGAGTAGTTTCCCCATTGTCGTATACCACCATCGTAAAAACTCGCAGCTCTGACACGAAGTCTATAAGTGGTGAATGTGAGAAGATTTGAAATGACGGCAGTTGAGATATAGACACCAGTTGATTCAATTTCAAGTGTTCCACCGCCTGAAAAAAATCAATCATTGTAAGCAGTTTGTGAGATATCAGTGGAACATACACACAGACAGAGTAAACTCAAAGGCTCCCTTTAAATATTTTTGTACCAGGCAGTCAAAGGGAAGATGGTAAACAATCTATCTATTTTTAATTAAGACATTTTTCACAATTACGTAACTATAGCAATGTATATATTTTCATAAATCAGTCTAGGACATACATGTACTATGGTAACACAGAATCAGGGTTCTACACATGCATTTCAAGCATGGCAGCTTGGCCAATGAAATGCCAAGTTTGAACTTTCAAGAAAACAACAGAGCTCATTGGTATGTAATTACATCTGTTGTTATAAAATATATATACAAAGTAAATAGTAGTATTATGCAAATGGTGAGCAATATTTTGGAATTTACTGAAAGAACACTGAAAATGGCATTACACCGTTTATTCCTCACGAAATTTGATTAGGAAAAAACAACAACAACATTTTAACACATGGATATCTTTCTCTAATAACAGGCGATTTTCCATTCAAATGCGAGGTCTTGCGATTTGCATGAAAGACGCGTGCGTCTGTCGCAAAAATCAAATCAAATTTGATTTTGAACTTGATTTTTTTTATTTCGTATCTCACATCGGAAGGCCGATTTTTTACAGGGAATATTGCATTTGAATACCCTTACTTCATAGAAATTGACCATCATCAAATGTGTACAGCACATTATTAAGCATGGAAATATCCCCTATTAAAATACTTTTGCGGTTGTCAAATCCCACATGATGTTTGACGCCACTACAACGCTATGACCTTTCTTTGTCCCGTTTTTATGTTCAATTTCACGCATAACGTGGGATCTCAAAGTGAACGGAAAATGGTCTATTAAAAGGACTGCGAGAACATTCACATTAAAATAGCAATTCTACAATTTAATCTTCTTTTCAAGAATCAATCAGTCCCAGTTAACGACTAGCATACAGTGAGTGAATCTGAATCTGGTGTGTGTGTGGGGGGGGGGGGGGGGCACAGGACACTCAGTGTATTGGGTTTTCATTCATCAAAACTTTCTAAGCCCAAAATAGACCTACCCATTAATGTAACAAAAAAACGGTGTCCCTGACTGTTATGCATTATAGATTGTACAACCTTGTACATGCCTACTGTACTAACCTATCAAGTCTGTTTGTATGAACTGTATCTCATAGGCTACGATATCACTGTCTCTTTCCTCCGGTATTTCCCACTGTAAATGTATGGATGTTGAGTTCACTCCAATAACCTGCAAGTTCCTAGGTGGTGATGGACCTGAATAGAATGAAGTAAACAGACGATTTCAGTAAATTTGACTGGAAGAAACCATATGGCAATATCAACGTATTAAGGGAAAAAATTCTACATGTTAGCTGCCATGGCTACTGCAACCAATAAAATGAACCAAATTTTCATATAAAACAGCAGGTCCATACAGATGACTGATTGTACACTGATATTGATTTAAAATATTGAAAAAATAATGATATGATTATTTGCATGAATAAAATGATGTACGGTAGTTCATGATATTGCCAATTAAAACTGTCAAAAGAGTAACTACTGTAAAGACATATGGGTTTTTTTGTATGGAAATAATTTTCACTATTTTTTGATCAGTAGAATGTAAAATATTGTATTAACTGGATCTTATTTTCACTGAATCATCCCTACACTAAAAATAGTGAAAATAAATTTGAAGCAAAAATGAAATATTTTATTTATAATACTGTAAAATACTTTACTTTTGCTTAGAATTAATCTTCGCTATTTTCACTGAAGGAATGATTCAGTGCAAATAAAATCCAGCTAATATACCTTTTTTCCTATATTTTACATTCAACTCGTCAAAAATCAGTGAAAATAAATTCCATAGAAAAAACACCCAAAAAAACTTTTTCAGAGAAAATTAATTTCAACTAAAATAAAGTATTTTACAGTATTACACTTGCATTACCTATTCTGTCGGATAAGGTAGATGCTGCCATCTGATTGCTTGGTTGACTTAATCCATATTGATTCATTGCTAACACTTGGAATATGTATTCTGTATTGGATTGCAACCCTGATACTCTGTAGGTCTCTGTCCCACCTACGTACGGAGCAGTGTTAGGATACGTCAGCCAATCAGACGAGTACCTGAACATATATGGAAAGTATTTCAATGTTTAATAATATATTAAAGCATTTATTTTAAGATGTTGTGTTTTTATATCATATTGTTAATGGGTTCTATAATTGCTCTAGAATACTTGAAAAACTTTTTTTAAAGTTCCTACATGGCGGCTAGGCTAAATCGGTCTCTTTCAAATTGATCTTGTATAAATATAAATTAGAAAAGTTTTCGCAATTCTTCAGATGTACGGCTAGCTATAAGATATTGTTAAAATGAATTCTTGTATCAATAAATCTGGTTGTAAGTTTACTTTTTGAAAGCAGTTAATGACCGTTATAAATCGACAAAATGTTTAGTCAAAGGTGTAATGTAAATTGCATTTTGATGTAATTCATACCCATGTATTTACTTTTTTTTTTTACCGGTATATTTCACTTATATCTTTAATGTTTGTTTGTCTTGACAGATCCTGTGAAGAGGTTTTCATGCCTGTGCCATAAATGAAGTGAATATGTACGTGTTGTATGTCAACAGATTTTTCCCTGTGACTGGCTATTTTATTGTTCAAAGAGAAAACTTAGTAGACCCGAACTACTTGTTGAATTCTAAAACTTATTTGTGTATGTAGTTTTGTCAATTTTCATTTCAAAATGAAGGCTCAAGTAGAGCTTCATATTTCTGTGGGAAAATCTCAATATTACTGTTTCCATGGAAACGAGTCAAGTACTCCTCTTTAAACTTTTCACACAGCAAAATGTAAAGAAGGTGAAGAATTAGCCGATGCCGTTCCTAAGAGATAACAATGAAATCATACATAATTTTACACATATAGATGGATCAAAAAAACATGTACTGCATTCAAGTGTTCTTTTTGACTTTTAGTATGTCAAAACCTGGTCTTCAGAGTACTTGACAAGAGTACACATTTTCCCGTTAACAAGGTGCTGTGACCTTTTTTGTTGATTTTAAAGCGAGGGAGTCGTCATCTGCACATTCGTCAGATGGCTATAGCGTGTCAATGTTTACAAACAAGCGTCTACCCATGAGCCTTTGAGTTTTTAGCGTGTGTTGTTATCATCCCTTTGGACTCAATTTCCGCGTGTGAGCAGGTGATGACCCTCCCGCTTTAACAGAAAGGAAATCACTTGGACTTGTTACCTTTGTGCATACTGTATCACATAGTACAAAATAGTCTCTGTAATAGTACCCGGAATCCAAGTCAGTATGACTTCACTGGTAGACACAGCTGTAGCACTCATCACTAAAGGTGCTGTGGCTTTAACTATTAAAACAAAGTACAATGACATTATAAAAAAGCATTCAAGAATATATCAATTGAAATGAACACAATATTTCAGTGATTCTCATCAAGATTTTGAGTTGTGGTATTCTAAACATTTTTTTCAGACAATATTGAGAACAATAATATTTCCATAAAGCATGTATCTAAGTGGTTCAGAAGAAACTCTATCAACAGTATCTTCATTCATTACTAACTTATAAATACAGTGATATCAAAAGGATGAGAAAACATTGTGTAAATTAAACTTAGAACATTTTTTGCATGCTATAATTTTTCCAGCCAAAATTTTTGTGCAACAGTTTGAATAATTCTATGTATTTTTCCATGACGGACATAATTGCCTATAGGCTTTAATAATTTTTTTTGTAAAAATACGAAAAAGTTAATGTAAGATCGACTATGGTAATCAAAGGTTACTGGAGGAAAATTTATTATAAATTCCTTCATAAAATAAAAGCGAAATATATTTTACTAATTTAAAACAATTTTCTTGTACTGTTATGAAAAATGGAAACATTTACATTTTGTCTTTGTTTTCTTGCATTTGTTTTCTATCTCAAAAAACTTAAATGGTTAATTTCATCAATCCTAATATTGTTAAAAATTATAATGGCATACCCCATTAAACACAATAGGAAGTTCTCTCCCATAATGCATTGCACATATGCTCAGTAGCACAATATCTGAATTTGCTTTAACCTTTTAAGCACCAACATTTCTCTTTTGGTCTAATATTTTGTCTGTTTATATGCATTTTGCTAAAACTATTTTGATAATTTTGAACTAAATAAATATAATTTCCTTATGGCTACAAGTCATGACCAACATTTTGAAATCATTACGAAAAAATAATGTGGATTTAAAATGTGTGAATGTTGACAAAAGTTGACGTTGGCACTTAAACATAGGCATGTTACCTGTTACTGACAGAGTGAAGAAAGTCTCTGTGGTAAATGGAAATGTGGATGTTCCTTGTATACTGGAATGTGGAGTTGAGGAGCTTTCAACGATGGGTGGTTTGGGTGTTGATTCGTAGGTTTGGTAGGTAGCCTTAGGAGGCTTATCAGGAGTTGAAATGGTCGGTACTTGGGTAGACTGTCGCTCAGTCGCTTTGACTGAATGCATTAGTGAATCTGTTCGAGATGTCTGAGGTTGCGCAATGGACGATGTGGATGTAAGGTGAGGAGCCTTGATGGTTACCGGGGAAACAGGAAGAGCTGTAGTCAAACCTTGTTTCATCCCATGCAAGAAAAGATAACACCATGATAATATCCCCATGCATTATCAATAATATTTTAACATCATGCTTTATAGCACTGACTGTACATTTCACATATCAAAGCGATTCTTTGTTCACTGTGAGATCTCATATATTGCGAGAAAAACGCTGATTGAACACCTGCCGCAAAAATCTGACAATTGGATTTTGATTTCCTTTTTTTTTTTTCATAGCCCAATGTCGAAATGCTGATCTTTCAGAAGGGAATATGGGATTGAGAAGTACTTACTTCATCAAAATTGAGTATCATCAAATGTATATTTTCGTGTTTGTTGAATCTCAAGCATTGTTTTGACCTTTATTTTACGTTGGATTTTTCGCATAATGTGGGATTTCACAATGAACGGAAAATGGTCTAATATTACCCTGCTATTGTTTATATTGGCATTGAAGGGAAAATAAAAAAAAATATTTCGAGAAAACTTCACAGTTCCTGTGTATGAGAAAGTCCTAAACTGTCAAAACTGTTTTTCTGATTTATAAAACAATACAGAGTACATGCACTTCTAAGAACCAATGAAACTATGTAGACATGATAGCCTTAAAATGTGCAGAGCGACTGTGCAGTGGCCAATATATGATGTTCATGCAGAGTCCATAACAGGAAAACAGATTTCAAAACCATGTGGGGGTTATAGCACCCTCACACTATCATTAGCAAAGAAATAGAAGAGGGAGGTTTCACTTGTGCAGTTCTGTCCCTGATTGCGTATATTCATCTACAATTTTTTCTCTAAGATTTAAATAGTACACCTCCCTTTCCCTTTATATTGTTTGTTATCCACAAAAGCTCTGTACAGTGCAGTTATGAATGTATATCTGGGTATATGTGTTTGAAATCCTAAATCTTACCTGATACCGTAAGTTGAAATGTGGTTCTGCCACTACCAGCAGGATTATGAGCAATACAATGATATTCTCCTATAACATAAATACACAGATAGTTTTATACTTGTATTAAGATAGCAAGAAAGAAGTGATGGCCTATTTGAATACAGATTTTTGTCTGTGAATTTAGTTCAAAACATGATTCTGCATATATTTTTCAAAAACCTGGATCTAGAGGAACAACTTCATACATAATTATATTTTATTTTTTAAAACAATTAACTTTTTCACCATTATTCTGCACTTTTTTTTATATTCTTCACTATTTCTGGAAATGAATCCTAATTTTGGAGCCAATAGACAAAATTTGAGTTAATTTTCAGTTTTTTTACTCAAAAAATGTGACTATTTTTGTCCCAATCCTATAAAGGGAAGTGCAGAATATAAACAAGACTATTTTGTGAATTTGTGATGAAAAAGATGGAACGGGTGGTGAAAAATTTAAACCTACAATTATCAGACATCTGCAAAATTACTAGCTGAAATTCCCACAATGCATTGTTCATCAATGGTTCATTCTTCCAAATGTTACAAACCCTGAATTAATGACCCTGACTTTGAAATCCCTTAAATTATTCAATTGTGAAAATTTCTAGAAACAAAAAAAGAATTGTTTACAGAATCTATTGTTACCGATACAACACAAAATTATTTCATCGAGTTAGTATTATATTTTCGGTCTTGTGTCCAATTTTATGTGTTTATTGACTATTTTCAGTTAGCTGATCTTTTGCATAGACTGAGTCTAATATAATACACACCCGTAATGTGTTCATCAACAGTGAACTTCATAAATACATTTAATTTAATTTAAAAGTATTTAAACCATACTAAATACTTTGTCTAGTCAGGGAAATTAGAACTGACAGGAAACATAATCACAATACCTTCATCACTGGCTAAAACTGGACTAATCTGCAATGTATTGTGGGTAGGTAAAGTCAGTCGGGTATCTGGTGTAATTGAATCATCCCCTTTTAGCCATTGGATAGATGGCTCAGGTTTACCCTGTGCATTACATGTCATCAACAGAGTCTCTCCTTGTTCTATGAGGACATCTTCAAGTGGGTTCACTGATGGCACAACTACATATTTAACAAAATATTCATTACTATTATTGAAAATGAAATATAGATAAAAATATATATATTAAATTTTGTTATTTGATACTGCTACTGATGACTAAATTTTATTATGATTTATCGTAAATCAAAATTGTTTGTTTTTGCAATTGTGTAAATGCTAAAAGAACACAGTTTTTGCTCATAATCAACAGCAATGAAATGTATTCATCAAAATAATGTATTGATAAACAAAAATTACATCCACATTGCATTTTTACCAATTCAACACAAATGAATTCACTCTCCTCATCACATACAACAACCACCTAGAATTCTCTGGCCAATACTGTTCATTCTTCTCATCACATACAACAACCACTTAGAATTCTCTGGCCAATACTGTTCACTCTCCTCATCACATACAACAACCACCTAGAATTCTCTGGCCAATACTGTTCATTCTTCTCATCACATACAACAATCACCTAGAATTCTCTGGCCAATACTGTTCATTCTTCTCATCACATACAACAATCACCTAGAATTCTCTGGCCAATACTGTTCATTCTTCTCATCACATACAACAATCACCTAGAATTCTCTGGCCAATACTGTTCATTCTTTTCATCACATACAACAACCACTTAGAATTCTCTGACCAATACTGTTCACTCTCCTCATCACATACAACAACCACCTAGAATTCTCTGGCCAATACTATTCACTCTACTCATCACATATAACAACCACCTAGAATTCTCTGGCCAATACTGTTCACTCTCCTCATCACATACAACAATCACCTAGAATTCTCTGGCCAATACTATTCACTCTCCTCATCACATACAACAACCACCTATAATTCTCTGGTCAATACTGTTCATTCTTCTCATCACATCCAACAACCACCTAGAATTCACTGGCCAATACTGTTCATTCTTCTCATCACATACAACAACCATCTAGAATTCTCTGGTCAATACTATTCATTCTTCTCATCACATACAACAACCACCTAGAATTCACTGGCCAATACTGTTCATTCTTCTCATCACATACAACAACCATCTAGAATTCTCTGGTCAATAATATTCACTCTACTCATCACATATAACAACCACCTAGAATTTTCTGGCCAATACTATTCACTCTCCTCATCACATACAACAACCACCTAGAATTCTCTGGCCAATACTGGTCACTCTTCTCATCACATACAAGAACCACCTAGAATTCTCTGGCCAATACTGGTCACTCTTCTCATCACATACAAGAACCACCTAGAATTCTCTGGTCAATACTGTTCACTCTCCTCATCACATACAACAATCACCTAGAATTCTCTGGCCAATACTATTCACTCTCCTCATCACATACAACAACCACCTAGAATTCTCTGGCCAATACTGTTCATTCTTCTCATCACATCCAACAACCACCTAGAATTCACTGGCCAATACTGTTCATTCTTCTCATCACATACAACAACCATCTAGAATTCTCTGGTCAATACTATTCATTCTTCTCATCACATACAACAACCACCTAGAATTCACTGGCCAATACTGTTCATTCTTCTCATCACATACAACAACCATCTAGAATTCTCTGGTCAATAATATTCATTCTTCTCATCACATACAACAACCATCTAGAATTCTCTGGTCAATACTATTCATTCTTCTCATTACATACAACAACCACCTAGAATTCACTGGCCAATACTGTTCATTCTTCTCATCACATACAACAACCACCTAGAATTCTCTAGCCAATACTGGTCACTCTTCTCATCACATACAAGAACCACCTAGAATTCTCTGGTCAATACTGTTCACTCTCCTCATCACATACAACAATCACCTAGAATTCTCTGGCCAATACTATTCACTCTCCTCATCACATACAACAACCACCTAGAATGCTCTGGTCAATACTATTCACTCTCCTCATCACGTACAACAACCACCTAGAATGCTCTGGCCAATATTATTCACTCTACTCATCACGTACAACAACCACCTAGAATTCTCTGGCCAATACTGTTCACTTTCCTCATCACATACAACAACCACCTGGAATTCTCTGGCCAATACTGTTCATTCTTCTCATCACATACAACAACCACTTAGAATTCTCTGGCCAAGACTGTTCACTCTCCTCATCACATACAACAACCACCTAGAATACTCAGGCCAATACTATTCACTCCCTCATCACATACAACAAGCACCTAGAATTCTCTGGCCAATACTGTTCACTCTCCTCATCACATACAACAACCACCTAGAATTCTCTGGCCAAAACTGTTCATTCTTCTCATCACATACAACAACCACTTAGAATTCTCTGGCCAAGACTGTTCACTCTCCTCATCACATACAACAACCACCTAGAATACTCAGGCCAATACTATTCACTCCCTCATCACATACAACAAGCACCTAGAATTCTCTGGCCAATACTATTCACTCTCCTCATCACATACAACAACCACCTAGAATGCTCTGGCCAATAATATTCACTTTCCTCATCATATACAACAACCACCTAGAATACTCAGGCCAATACTATTCACTCCCTCATCACATACAACAAGCACCTAGAATTCTCTAGCCAATACTATTCACTCCCCTCATCACATACAACAACCACCTAGAATGCTCTGGCCAATAATATTCACTTTCCTCATCACATACAACAACCACTTAGAATTCTCTGGCCAATACTGTTCACTCTCCTCATCACATACAACAACCACCTAGAATGCTCTGGCCAATACTGTTCACTCTTCTCATCACATACAACAACCACCTAGAATTCTCTGGCCAATACTGTTCACTTTCCTCATCACATACAACAACCACCTAGAATTCTCTGGCCAATACTGTTCACTTTCCTCATCACATACAACAACCACCTAGAATTCTCTGGCCAATACTGTTGTATTCTATGTACATACATACCTCTTACAAAGAGTGTTGCTGTTGCTTTGTCGTAACCATGTAAATTATCTACTCTACAAGTGTAGGTCCCGCTGTTATCGTCCTCCGTTTGAGGGATTGATAGTTGTCGACCATCTTGAGAAACTATAGCTTGTGGGGGCAGCATCTCTCCATCATTATAAAGCCATGAGTAGCTCGGCTCAGGAAATGCAGATGCTTGGCATGTCATAGTAAGAAGATGTCCTTCATTGACTGTCTGACTGAGGGGGCCTTGTGTGATTACAGGGACATCTAGAAAGAAAGAATACATAAAAGAAGCTCAACATTTTGTCATTATCATAATTGAATTTTATCTACAAGTAGGCAAAAGTTTTCACGATAATAGCGCAACAAAAGTATGCAGTCAGGCAGTGCAGGGTATCATCACCCTCTGATACAAGTTGGTTGATACAGCCTTTATGCATGCTTTGCAAATATCCTGTGATAACCTCATATTATATTACAGTCATACAGGTACCTCTGTAAAAAAAAAAATCATTCAGAATGATGACAAATGCTCCAGTTACCTTCAACTCTCAACACACCGCTTTCCTCAGCAATTCCCGCCTCGTTTTCAGCATGGCATCTATAAACCCCGGCATCACTGGTGACGACATTCATGATCTGTAAGCCTTGTGGGGTGGATATATAGCGAGTGTTCTCAGCAGACCAGATAAGTGGGAATTCATCCTTGAACCAGGAGACAGTGGGAGTGGGATCACCGAGCACTTCACAGTTCACCAGAACAGCTGACCCCACACGAGCTGTTAAATCAGACGGTGGACCTACATCTATCTGTGGGGGAACTGTGAAATAAAACAGAGCTTTGAGTTCTCTACTTTGTGTACTAAAGAGAATGCTTCCATGACAGGAGAGGGTTTGACAAATAAACTCGGTCACGTATGCTGCCCATAAAGTATTGAGTGATTTTCAATATGTATTACAGTTCCATGGCTGTTTACTGTGTGTATGACTAGAAGGATACAAATTTGGTTTCATCATGTTAAGATACACAGTCACTTTAATAGGAACCCTTACCCACACCATGTCATGGATTAAAGTGAGTTTATTTTGATAACCAAATATTGAATGAGAAAGAAACTAGAATAGAGCAAATAATAGATAAACCCATTCCCAAAAATATTTTCATGCAAAAATTATTCTGAAACTACTGGTACATGTAGCTTGACTTTATTGTGCAATTCATTTTCGCTGACGAGCCAAATACCATGATGCATGCCACTGTGACAAAAACAAACTATCAATGTTTTGTTCTACATTTAATTGCATCGAAAGATGAAAAAATACAGTATAAGCCATTGTCACTTCATGTAATTCGAGTAGCGATGGGTTACTATGTGTTCACTGAATATCAAATCAGTTATATTAAACTTTCAAAGGTATCCTCAGAATGGTCAGACTTCTCAAGTGGCATCAAGATATTATTCAGTAATCATCCACACATTTTGCATTAAATTAATCCATCAGATATCAGTATAGAGCACTAGAAATTAACCTTTCAGTTGTCAGATACTGTGGAATACTTTATTTACGCTGGAAATGATTTTTGCTAAAAAGGCTTTTTTGGGCGTTTTGTGTGGAATTTATTTTCACTGATTTTTGATGAGTTTAATGTGAAAAACATTGTATAGGAAAAAATGTATATTCGCTGGATTTTATTTTCACTGAATCATCCCTTCAGAGAAAATAGCGAAAATAAAGTATTCTACAGTATATTCCTGCCAAAAATTCAGCATAAAATTTTACACATTTCACAAAAATATCCGTAAATTTCAACAAATTTTAGAATCATACAGACAGTATTTGACATTGGCTTTTAGTTTTTGATAAAAATATGTGTCAATTTTTTTTCCAAGATGACAGAAGAAGACTGTACAAAAATATTTTGTGGATAGTGTCAAAAGTGGAGGACGCTCAAAGGGTTGAAGATAATTTTTTCCTATCAGAAAGTATCAGAAATTTATTGAAACAGGTTAATCATCCACAAAGGCCAAGCTTTCAGAATATATATATGTTGTAGGTAACATTTTCTAAAGATAGAATCATGGCCTACCAATAACATCCAGAAAAGCCGAGGCTCTGTCAACGTTGACCCCATTACTTGCTTCACAAACGTAGGTGCCTTGGTCATTGTAGATTACATCGGTTATGGTTAAGCTTTCACCGTCAAATCTGTGAATTCAAATGATGGGGTGAAACAATCAGTCAATACAGTGCTTTAGGTCAAGAAATATAACATTAATAACCTTTTCATCACCAGACTTTTTCATCCAAAATATTCTGCACTGTTTCTTATATTCTTCAATATTTCTGGAAATGAACCCTAATTTTGGAACCAGCAGACAAAATTGTTTTTACTTGAAAAGGAAAGGAAAGGAAAGGAAAGTATAAATGGGACTATTTTGAGAATTTGTGATGAAAAGAGGGAATTTTACAGTGTTTTAGATCGAATCATTACACCATTAAAGTGTGATGATAAATCTTAGATGATATTTTCTTGATTTTCTGGGAAATAACATTTTCCGGAGTCCTGATGGATCTATTTCAATGACTGTGTAAGTTTAGTGTCTTCATATTTTGAAATCATATGACTTAGAATATTGAGCTTAATAATTATTATTTGAACCAGAGTAACAGGCAGGAACATAGTGAAAAAAAAAAATGGCCACCAGTCGGCCACCAGTGGATCCTGAATATATCAATGTGCACGTGCAACCCAATATGTTTTGTCATCATGCCAAGTTTAAATAAAATATTCCAGGCATGCCTGAGATATTGCTTGTGTTTAGCTTGGATGTCCTTTACATTCCCACTCTTTATAATCAATATTCATGAATAAATTAGATTATCGCCATATAAAAGCCACCAGTTTATTAAACGACACTGAGTGTTCTTTATAAACAAATGATGGTACATTGACGAAACATGTATGCTGTCCATGCAGTCTCAAACCTTATAGTATCACCTGTCTACAACTGTCCAATCACAATGGCCTAAACACTACATGCTAATTAACACTTTGAATGCCACCATTTTTGTGCCATAATTTTGGTGCAAAATTTTGCACATTTTTTTTATAATTTTTTTGTTAATTTTGAAGCAAATAGACATAATTTATGATTTTCTACAGGTATTGATCAAAATTGTTGACAAAATATAAAAGAAAATTATGTCAAATGTTGAGTTTGGCACTCAAAGTGTTAAATTTTCTATGCTATTAAAGTTGTATTGTCAGTAAAAATCTTGTTTAAGACTTTGATATGTGAAGTAATATTTGTACTGTAATAAACGTAACAATTACAGTATTCCCAAGATATCCATGTAAGGAGTTTCTTGTCAACAGCCGCACATCACTGACCAGTTTTGTAGAGATTAGATAAACGGTGCAATATAGAAGGTTTCAATCAGTATAACTCGCTAATGTTGTAAATTTCAGATTTGATTTTTGGTCATGCTTCTCAAAACTTCAACTGAATTTTTCAACAATACAACTTCAAAGCTGCTATGTAATTCTATACTTTGCTGACAATGATCGATCACAAATGTTCTAAAAAAATCGTTCCTCTCCCAGAATGCAACTTGAACCCATTAACCATGGCAATACCAACACCTTAGGCATATATATGACATACTATGGTCGTCATGGCACCAGAGACGTGATATAAGACAATTCCCTGCAACATGCATGATAGTAACATCTGAACACTTACCCAACACTAATATGCATTAAAAAATTCAGACAAGAAAACAAAAATATAAATAAAGTATATTGCTGCATTTTTTTACGAGGCAGCACGAGACAAAATAATTTGTACATTTTAATTAGTCAACTACAATTCAAAACATTTCAAACTACTTAAAGGGCGGTGGTCATCGCACCGTGCTCTGTTCGACATGGGACTCATAGCGGCGTATACAGCGCGTGTAAAATACATTGTTTGTTTACATGAAATTCAAAGACGTGCTGCACGACAACTACCGCGCTTTAAAACAGCGTTATAACACTAGTCAGGGTCAACACGTATTTCTTGAACATAATAACACATTTTCTGATCAGTTTACAATGTCATACATTGGTGCAAAACATTGAAACACTACTGTAAAATCTGTATCAGAAGCCGCGACTTCTATTAAAGTGGTACAATGCAACAGAGGGGATGCGGCTTCTATTAGAGCATCTACACATACAAGAAAAAATGAAATTTTTTTTCTCAATTATTCAAAAAGAATGGGTACAGATTTTACGGTAATTACTGATTCGAAATTAGAATACACAAATACTGTATTTGCTATCATCAGTAAATTGTTTTATTTTATATAATTTGTGTTATTGTTCATCTGTAATGAGCTATCATCAACTTGCATAGCAGTACACTATGACATGCGTTTCTAAATATCATTCAAATAATGTGGCCTGGACCAGAATAGACTAGACTAGCTGAAAGCTATTTTCTGGTCCAGTTTACCCTACCTTCAATTTATTCAATCATGTTCAAATCGATAACTTTTTATTCCAGTTTTAATATTTTACCAAATTATCCAACTTAGATACATATTGTAAATATTACACTACGGGTGATAATATATACTAAAATTTATACCTATTGTAACAAAGTAAATAGCACCTTTTTGAAGCCAATTTTCCAAAAATGACGTCAAAGTTAGAAGAATAAACCCTGCCTGCTGTAACCCTTTGACCCTTTAAATACCAAAGTCAATTTTTCTAACCTTGCATGAAAATAAACTTACTGGTATCAGATATAATTTTTCAAAGATTTTTTCAAAAATGTTGATAATCAGGAAATACCAAATTTTCTAGCAGTAGAAAATTCACTACAACTTTGAAAACCATCGTAAATACCATCAAAATTAATTCATTAATATAGATGTCTAAGTTTACACTATACATACAGAGAGGAGTTTTTCGTGGTTATATTTTGAGATACTGTAAAATGATTAATTATTCACTGGGTTTTAATTTTGCTTATTTCGCTGACTGGAAAATACACTAAATTAAAACCCAGTGAATATGTAAAATTTAGCATAGAACACATTGTCTAAATGATAAAACCGTGAATTTAAAACCCACTGAATATATCTGAAATAGTAAATCAGCAAAATTTAAACCCAGTGAATATTATAGTCATTTTACATTATACAGGTACTTTGTTGGAGAAAAGAACAGGTAAGCAGAATGAAACAGATACAATTAAGATATAAAAAACCTTACCCGATACTGTATCGAGAATCATAGTAATCATCATCAATCAATTCCTGTTGTTTATACCACTTTATTTCTGGTTTTGGATCACCATCCGCTGTGCAGGTAAACATCACCCTGTCGTGTATGACTGTCTGGGCATTGCTCGGAGGAATAGTTATCAAGGCTCCAACTACAAATCACAAAATAGCAAGGCGGGTGAGAACAGGAATTTAGTTGTAGTTTTCGATGAACACATCAAAGAATAATAAGTTTTTTCCAACGCACGACATACTGTAAAATACTTTACTTTAACTGGAATTATTTTTTGTTGAAAAGACTTTTTGGGTGTTTTCTATGGAATTTATTTTCACTGATTTTTGACAAGTGGAATGCAAAATATAGGAAAAAAGGTATATTCGCTGGATTATATTTTCACTGAAT